TGTCAGGAGCTGGGAGATCAGGGGCTTAATAAACTAGCCTTTTCCTCTGGGTTCAAATCCTACTTAGTATATAAGAAAAACTGAGTTTGACAATCTTCGTGTAACCACAAGTCAGACCACAGAGCCAGTGACACACTGTCAGTCTCTGCTCAGGGGACACTCAGGGCTGGAACAACAGGGAGTGATGAAAACTTCCCTGAGGTCCACTAGCAGAGATATATATGGAAGTGGTGTCTCACAACCAGAATAGTAAGCAATACTCAGGGCCATCTGGGGGATGGGGTGTGTGACAAAAAGGGCAGTTCGACCCACATCCCCTGTTTGAGAAGGTCCCCAAACCATGTAGCATCACAACCTGGATCGTGAGGTCAGAGAGCCATACAGTTTTGGCCTTGCTGGCCCTCTGTCATGATGGAAGGGTGGCCAGGCCAAACCAGACTGGTGCTGCAACCCTGTGCGACAGGTTGCAATGTCTGGAGCGAGGAGCCAGGTCCAGCCCCATGGGACAGAAGCCTTTGCTTCAGGGTGAGCGTGAGATGGGCTTGCTCTCCAACATCCTCCCGCCAGGCCTCCCCTCAGTGGTAATTTGTTTAGAAGTTGGGCGGGGGGGGGGGCGATCCTCAGTTTCACATTTTGCCCCAAGCCCTCAGAAACCTCTGTGAGGCCCTGGGGATACTGTAGGTTCAAGCTGATGTATATCAGCAGAGCTGTGTGAGGGTTTCATGTCAGGAACAGCCAGAGTAACTTCAGCTTAGGAGTGGAGTGCACTGGCAAAGCTCTGAGGGGGGGAAGTTTGTATAGCCTCTACCCATACTATGTCTAGCTCTAGCTGCTGCAATTTAGGTCTTCCATTTCATGGGCATCACATTCAAAACAGCTGCTCTTGCTTCAACTCTGTTTCTTCCAAAGTAATATTTTGGTCTTTTTTTGTTTTGTTAAAAAAATGGAGATGCGGACTGAGATTTTTATCTTCCTTCCTTCTTTTACAGGAACCTTGAGCATGCCTGTCAGAATTCTTTCTTGCAAAACAATCAGACACTAGAAAATGTTGCAGACAAACCACTTTCCACAACAGCTTTTGTTGCACTGTAGAAAAATGCATTTGATATATGCTCTCACACTCTTTATTTCTCTGACATTCCCCACATTATTTTCCTCTGTGGTTTCCAAGAAAGTCCTAAGTTTACAGGTCTACTCTGGTCAGTTGACAGGAGCAGGATGAAATCTGCTGGCAAAAATCTTTTTGAATTTTCCCTTTCACTCATGAGAAGCAATGTGTCTGTTGGTTAGAGAAGGTAACTGACAGTCAGGAGACATGTATTCCTGTTCTGTCACTGACCTTCTGTGTGACCTTGTCAAGTCATTTAACTTCTTTATGCCTGAGTTTCCCCATCTTTGAAAGGGGCAAAAACCCCAAACACTTAACTTTGTAAAATGTTTTAAGGCTGTTTATTCAGGATTGTTCAGAGTGAGTTAGTTGAGGAGGTGGTTTAAGAGTGGCACCCCAGCTCACTTTGTTAGCACATCTCTCTGTACAGAGACTGCAGCTTCTATCACAGCCCTTTCAATGACCTTGGATGGCTGATGCAGAGTGAGCCTAGAGATTGATGACAGGTAAATCCTATAAGTGAAATGGATAAAAGTGCAAAGCGTTACTGTGAGTCACTGTACCATCATTCTTTTTTTAGAGAAAATTTAGGCTGCTCATAGGATTATATAAAACCAAGAGCAGAGTGAGAGAGAGCGCGAGTGAGCAATTTTTTCTATTTTATTACCAAGATATACAATCCAATGTTAGCTAAGCACAGGCACCATAAAACTAAAATATAATTGGTTTTTAATATAGTGCATTTCCTACTTACAGTGATATCCCAAAGTGCTTTACAATCCTTGGTCAGAAGAGGCTGCTAGAGCAGTGGTTGTGCCAGGAAGTACAGAAGTCAGCTGCACTGATAACTCACACACAGCCCTGGAGCTTAGAATGAGAACTGGGTGAACTGTTCATAATGAAACCCAAAACTATTTCACTTAGTTTCAGATTTCATTGCAAAATGGGAAGTTGAGGATGATCTACTTAGTTTTGCTGATGTTTACATACTTTTAATTGAACCAAGGCCAAATGTAAGGCCTTTGGTGAAAACTAGGCAAAAATAGGGAGTTTTGAATGAACTTCTCTTGAGCTTTTTGGATTTGTTAAAAAATGAAATTGGAAATGAAATTCTGAGAGCATAAACCTCATGAGAACTGTAACTGAAAAAAGCTTCCAACAAATCCTTAAGATCTGTAGCTTCCACATTTCACACAGATTAATATTAACAAACAATAAGGGCTGGATTGTGATTTATAGCCACAGCCTCAGCCTAAGCTCCAGAAGCCATAGTTTCTGAATCAGGTTCAAAATGCTTCTCACTGGTCCCAGGGGCACAGTGTGGGTGCTGTGATATCCTTGGAGACAATGCTCCTCTGTACCTGGCCAGCTCTGCCATAAGAACATAAGAATGGCTCTACTGGGTCAGACCAAAGGTCCATTTAGCCCAGTATCCTGTCTTCCAACAGTGGCCAGGGCCAGGTGCCCCAGAGGGAATGAACAGAACAGGTAATCATCAAGTGATCCATCCCCTGTCACTCATTCCCAGCTTCTGGCAAACAGAGGCTAGGGACACCATTCCTACCCATCCTGGCTAATAGCCATTGATGGACCTATCCTCCATGAATTTATCTAGTTCTTTTTTGAACTCTGTTATGGTCTTGGCCTTCACAATATCCCCTGGCAAGGAGTTCCACAGGTTGACTGGACTGTGCATCGTGTGAAGAAATACTTTCTTTTATTTGTTTTAAACTTGCTGCCTATTAATTTCATTTGGTGACCCCTAGTTCTTGTGTTATGAGAAGTAGTAAACAACACTTCCTTATCTACTTTCTCTAAACCAGTCATGATTTTAATAGACCTCAATCATATCTTCCCTTAGCAGTCTCTTTTCCAAGCTGAAAAGTCCCAGTCTTATTAATCTTACCTCATACGGAAGCTGTTCCATACCCCTAATAGTTTTTGTTGCCCTTTTCTGACCCTTTTCCAATTCCAATATATCTTTTTTGACATGGGGCGACCATATCTGCACACAGTATTCAAGATGTGGGCGTACCATGGATTTACATGATATTTTCTGTCCTATTATCTATCCCTTTCTTAATTATTCCCAGCATTCTGTTTGCCTTTTTGACTGCTGCTGCACATTGAGTGGATGTTTTCGGAGAACTATCCACAATGACTCCAAGATCTCTTTATTGAGTGGTAACAGCTAATTTAGACCGCATCATTTTATATGTATAGTTGGGATTATGCTTTCCAATGTGCATTTCTTTGCATTTATCAACATTATATTTCATCTGCCATTTTGTTGCCCAGGCACCCAATTTTGAGAGATCCTTTTGTAGTTAAGACCCAGGCAGACTGTGAAGAGCTATCTTTAGTAATTTTGTATCATCTGCAAATTTTGCCACCTTACTGTTTACCTCCTTTTCCAGATCATTTATGAATATTGATTGGATAGGATTGGTCCCAGAACAGACCCGTAGGAGACACCACTATTTACCTCTCTCCATTCTGAAAACTGACCATTTATACCTACCCTTTGTTTCCTATCTTTTAACCACTTACCAATCCATGAGAGCACCTTCCCCCTTATCCCGTGGCAGCTTACTTTGCATAAGAGCCTTTGGTGAGGGACCTTGTCAAAGGCTTTCTGAAAATCTAAGTACACTATATCCACTGGATCCCCTTGGTCCTCATGTTTGTTGACTCCCTCAAAGAATGATGTTCATCTATATGTCTAACAATATTGTTCTTTATTATAGTTTCAACCAGTTTGCCCGGTACTGAAGTCAGGCTTTCAAACCTGTAATTGCCAGGATCACCTCTGGAGCCCTTTTCAAAAATTGGCGTCACATTAGCTATCCTCTGATCATCTGGTACAGAAGCTGATCTAAATGGTAGGTTACAGACTACAGTTAGTAGTTCTGCAATTTCACATTTGAGTTCCTTCAGACCTCTTGGGTGAATACCATTTGGGTCCTGGTGACTTATTGCTGTTTAATTTATCAATTTGTTCCAAAACCTCCTCTATGATACCTCAATCTGGGACAGTTCCTCCGATCTGTCACCTAAAAAGAATAGCTGAGGTTTGTGAATCTCCCTCACATCCTTAGCTGTGAAGACCTTAGAGTCTCTAAGGTGCCACAAGTACTCCTGTTCTTCTTTTTGCGGATACAGACTAACACGGCTGCTACTCTGAAACCTGTCATTATGCAAGGCACTGCATTTAGCCATATGGAATGGAAATCCATCAACCTCATGAAAAATGCTCTAATAAATTTGTTAGTCTCTAAGGTGCCACAAGTACAGACTTTGTTCATTGGCGGGCAGGATGGAACCTGGGGCCTCTGGAGCTTAGTGCATGCACCTCTACCGCATAAGCTAAAAGCCAACCGGCTATTAGCGAAGGCTGTAGAGCAGACTCATTTTCTCTCTCTCTAAGTGGTCTCAGTGCCACTAGATGGGACAGAACAACACACGGAGGAGGTGTGTGGATTACATTTGCAGTCTGAGGACTTTTATTAGAGAGATTGGGGGTGGGATTGAGAGGGATCTGGGGAGCAGGGGGAGTGAGGGAAGTTGGCGGAGGGGAGGACCAGAGAGCCTTCAAGAGGAATAAAGGATTTGGTAGAAGTGAAGGGGGATTGACAGGGTCGGAGGAGGGGGAGGTGCTGAGGCGATGTAGGGAACAGATGAAGCCAGGGAATGAGGCTAACTGGGATGAGGGAAGTGAGGGGATCGCAGGGAGGGAGGGGACGGGGGACTCTGAGGAAAGGGCACGCTGCTATCTCTGCCCCACCAGCGGGGTGCGGTCACTGGGCACCTCGCCACGCGCGCTTTAGGGCTTTGCGCTGGGTCAGTCGGCTTTGGGCAGGGAAGGCTCGAGCGGGAAAGAGAGGACGCCATCCCATTGGCTGCCGTCTACTTCTCACCTCCTGATTGGCGGCCGGGTGCCCTCCTGTGGCGCAGTCGTTGTCGCCGTTAGCGCTGAAATGGCGGCTGCGGACGAGGTCGGCTGTATCTGGCTGGGTCGGAAGCTTTCAGTCACTACCTCTGAGCCGGCTGGGACGCTCCCTTGTTCCGTTTCCGAGCAGGCGCGCGGCGCCGGGACCGTGTCTCCGCTCAGTAGCGCCGAGACGTGGCCGCTCAAGCGATATGGCCGCTTTGTCTCCCCGGGAGCCCCACCTTGTGGGGCGGGAGCTTCGGCCTCCTGGAAGGTGAGGCCTGGTTTGTTCGCTGGGGCGGGGTGTCCCGGGCGGAGCTGCACCCGCCGTCACTGCCCGGTTCCCGGAATCCTCAGTACTTGCCCCCAAACGGCCGTGTATCCTCCCCATCTTGCGGGGCCCCACCTTGTCTCCCGCGCACCCGCACTCTGTGCCCCAGTCTCTCTGGACCCTCCAGTCTCTTGTATATCCTCAGTCTGTGCACCCAGGCACCGTTGCAACCGAGTCTCTCTCGCACCCCCCCTTTGTGGTCCCGTCACACCCATAAATTACATTTAAACATAAATAACTTAAAATTAAACAGTATTTGTTACCCACTGACTTTATGGATGGTTCCAACTTGAAGGGGAAGCAAAAGGATGGACATGAAGTGTGGGAGAGAGAAATCTGCAGAGGACATGGTGGTGGGGAGGAGATAATGATAAGGGGACTTAGATCATAAGACCCAAATTCACAGCTGTGAAAAATGTGTTATGGACCATGAAATCTGATCTCTCCATGAAAGCTGGTGCCCAGCCAGGGGCTCCTGCCATGAGATCCAGCTGCTGCTAGTCCTGGCTGAGGATGGGGAGGGACCAGATTTCCTCTTCCCCTTCTCCTTCAAGGGCTGCTCAGACCCACCTCTGGTCTCTCCCCCAGCTGCAGGAGGACCGCAGCTCGAGGTGAGTTGTCACCTCCCTGCGCTGGCATGGGACTGCCAGGATCACCGGACATATGGTAACCCACCCCCCATATCATATGACTTTCACTGTGGTGGTGGCGTTGGCTTTAGAGTGGGATGCCTGGTCAGCAGTCTTCCTCTCTGCCTTCCCAGCTCTGAAGATAGTGCTTCTGCCAGCAGCAGTGCAGAAGTAAATGTGGTCATCCCACAACCTTCCAACAATCTTGCGACTTTCACTCTGTCCACCGTTTGGGTTTGGAGGGACACCCATGGTTACAACATGTGAAATTTCAGATGTAAATATCTGAAAACCTGAAATTGACTAATTTAAAAACCCACTGGCTGTGAAATTGACCAAAATGGACCATGAATTTGGTATGGCCCTACTCATAAGCTTTTTAGAACTGGGACTTGAAGTTGTTCTGTTTGTACAAACCAAGCATGCCGGGGACCTTGTCTATGAGTGGGACTCCTATTCCCTATTGGGACTCCTATCTAGGTGCTACTGCAGTACAAATAATGAATCATAATACTAGGGTTCTTTGCCAGAGTCTCCAACTCTTGTGATTTTTATCATGAGTTTCGTGATATTGGGTTGCTTTCTCAAAGCCTTTAGAGCAGGGGTGGGCAAACTTTTTGACCTGAGGGCCACATCGGGTTCCGAAACTGTATGGAGGGCCACACCCAGGTAGGGAAGGCTGTGCCTCCCCAAACAGCCTGGGCCCCACCCCATCCGTCCCTCCCACTTCCTGCCCCCTGACTGCACCCCTCAGAACCCCTGACCCATCCAACCTCCCCTGCTTCTTGTACCCTGACTGCCTCCTCCCGGGACCCCACCCCATATCCAACCCCCCCTGCTCCCCGTCCCCCTGACAGGCTCCCCAGGACTCCCATGCCTATCCAACTGTCTCTGTTCCCTGTCCCCTTTCTGCCCTGACCCCTATCCACACCCCCACCCCCTGACAGGCCCCCCCGGACTCTCACGCCTATCCAACTGCGCCTATTCCCTGTCCCCTGACTGCCCCCTGGGAGTCCCTGCCCCTTATCCAACCACCACTCCCCTCCCCTCCCCTCCCCCCACACATACACTCCCCACCACCTTACCATGCTGCTCAGAGCACCAGGACTGGCAGCCGTAGGTAGTATACTATAAGTAGCACATTCCTATGGGAAGCAATCTAATACAGTAGGAAATTGCTCCCCGTAGGAATGTGCTACTAATGGTGTACTACTTGCAGCTGCCAATCCTGGTGCTCCATAAGTAGCACATTCACACGGGGAGCAATTTAATACACTACACCCGGTGGCTCTTGCAGCCCCGCTGCCCATAGTGCTGGTGGCACGGCGAGCTGAGGCTGCGGGGGAGGGGAGCTAACCTCCCTGGCCAGGAGCTCAAGGGCCAGGCAGGACAGTGGCCTGCAGGCCGTAGTTTGCCCACCTCTGCTTTAGAGTTACATGAATATGCTAGAATCTCAGCTTTTATTTAAAAAAAAAATTCTAGCCTTCATGGTTGTGGAGATGAGCATGAAAGCACAAACCCCTAAAAGTGCAAAAGCGAGAAGGAAAACAAAAAACACTACATGTCTTATTTTTAAAGCCAATCATGATTTTGGGATCATCATAGAATCATAGATGATTAGGGTGGGAAGAGACCTCAGGAGGTCATCTAGTCCAACCCCCTGCTCAAAGCAGGACCAACCCCAACTAAATCATCCCAGCCAGGGCTTGGTCAAGCCGGGCCTTAAAAACCTCTAAGGATGGAGATTCCACCACCTCCCTTGATATCCCATTCCAGTGCTTCACCACCCTCTTAGTGAAATAGTGTTTCCTAATATCCAACCTAGACCTCCCTCAAATCATGACCTATGATTTGAATACTTGGATTTGGCATCACTAAGGTGCAGAGCTAGAGGGTACCTCTTCTGGGTTGCCTCTGTGACTAGGCTTCCTAACAGGCTGCTTCAGCAGTGCTGAAGTGCTGCAATATGTGAAACTTGAAGTTTTCAAACCATCATTCTGTGAAAAAAATTTAGATAGAAATTTAATAGCACACTGCCATTATGTTGCCTAGGAATATCTTGAAAACCCAGTATCAGAGGGGTAGCCGTGTTAGTCTGA